AGGAAAAAATTATAAATAATAATTTTTGAATACTAATATTATTTAACGTTAATCACATGTTTTCAAGATAATTAAATGAAATTTACTAACTAAATGTAAACTTTAAAATATTTTAAAGTTTGAAATAAGCATTTAATATCCACCTAACCAAGGCAATGACATTGTTTAAAAAACTATTTCATTGTAGTTGTGTGAAAAAAGAACTAAAATATAAAATCATTTCATGGATGTATAAAGCATATGTGTATAACTTTAAATACATGTACTGTTTAATAATTCTAGATCTGATAATATATTTCAATAATTAGGTATCAACATTCGTTTATTCCGAAATATTGGCACGTAAATTTTTAGAAAATTAAATTAGTGAATAAATTGATGAATTTTTCCTTTGTGATATTCCAGCATTATCATGTCTTCCAATAAAGTATCCTTAATTTGGTTTATTAATAATAATAACTATTTACCAATGTTAGGAGTTATGGAAAAATGCTAAATATAACTTTTGGAAGAATTTGATAATTAAATAAAATAAGGAGAAAAAAGAAAAAATACTTATCCAGGTTTAAAATGAATATTCGGAAATAATAGTCAGAAGAATACGGATAATATATTGTTGAGAAGCGGAGAAATAAAAAAAACAATATATATGATATATAAAGTTGTAGAAGGTAACGAATAATGACGAAAAAAATATAAATAATAATTTCTAAAAACTTACATTATTTAACGTAAATCAGATGTTTTCAAGAAAATAAAATGAAATTTTCTTACTAAATGTAAACTTTTTTAAATTTTACTATTATTGAAATTTACAACTGTATTAAATGATAAAGACAACAAGTAAATATGAAACAAGTAACATGACATGTACAACATGAAGATAAAAAATAAAACCCATTGATAGCACTCCAATTATATTTCTATATTAGAAGGTCTCGAGACCACCTTCTTTTCTGACGCCTCGGAGGGTTATCAGGAATAGAAGAGGAAGCAAGATTGGAAACAAGAGTCTTTTGGAAATAAGTGAGAAATTAGTAGAAATGGGAAAAAAAAATAAGAAAAAGAAATAAGAAGAAATAAGTTGGAAATAAGTCTTTGAGAAGTAAGTGCTGCAGTAGTCGAAAACGTCAGGCGGTTTCCAGTCGTTTCAGTCTGGTATGGCGGTTCCAAGTGAGTCGTTTGTCCAGGTGGAGTCCAAGATATCGGATTTGTTCAACAGGGATAAGTGGGCTATAGTTGAAGGATACTGCAGGACAGGAAATCACGACGAACAGTAAAGGTAATGAGTGTAGAGTCTAGGATGGGATACAGTCGTTTTACTCATAATGGGTAAAAGAGAGATAGGGTGGTAAGAGTTTGGGTAAATGTAAACTTTAAAATTTTTTTTTTAAGTTTGAAAAAGAATTTAAAACCCACGGATTCAAGGCAATGACATTGTTTAAGATATTATCTCATTGTACTTGTGTGAAAGAAGAAGTGAAATATATAAATATTTCATGAATACGTTTATAACCTTAAATATATTTACTGTAGTTTAAAAACTCTAGATCTGATATTATATTTAAATAATTTGATATCTATCGTCCATTTATTCCGGAAAATCATTATGTGTCCTTTTAGAAAATTATATTAGTAAATAATTTGATAAATTTTCTCTTTGCGATATCCAACTGAATCCACTTACAATCAGTGACAACTTTTGACTTGTCTATGACAGGCTAGACGAATCTCTTAATTCCGTTTTAGTAAACGTTGCGATGAAAAATAACATTTTAAAAATTAATAGTCGTACAATCCATAATCAACGGATCGTACAATCCAAATCAACGAATCGTACAATCCATAACTAAACGTTGATATAATAAATAGGAATTTCGTTATTTTAATAGTATTTATGTTAGCTGCGATCTTTTAGCTTTGGCTCAGTTAAAAATGAAATTCAGAAATTTTATAATAGACCAACATGGCCAGAAAATAATTTATATTCAAAGTTGAGCGGTAAGTGAAAGTTGTGTGTTGCACGCACCAGATTTTTTTATTTCATATCCAGATAATAAACGTTTCTAGTTCTGTCACCTCAATTCTTTTTTATTTTAAGTGGGTAATGATAAAATATGAAACTTATAATTAAATATTACTGGAAGTATTGCATCTCCAGCATTATATTGAAAATAAATTAGAATTTTGATAATGAAGAGAAGAATAGTTGGGGTGCTCAGTCAAAAAAGGAAGGCAAAAAATAAATTATAATATTTATTTTTTACATATGCCGACGTTTCGACCTGAAGTTCAGGCCTTCATCAGGGCTTTCTCCTTAAGTGTCAAGGGGAGAATGCAATTTTGAATAGAATTTGTAGAATTTGGAGAATAGAATTTTGATAATCATATTAACAAAGTAGTAATTTTAAAAACAAAATAAATATGTTGTATAAAAATTTTCTATTTTTCCTAATATTTCCAATATACTTCTGGAGTTTGGTAATTCAAACCAGTGATTCCGTCTTGAGCTAAAATCAGCACATTGCCTAAGTACTCTTTAGAAGACTATTGAAACTTGAGGTTCAAGGTCCACTGGACTTTAAAGGACGGCTTTAAGTGAACATTCACACGTTCACTGGAAACTGGACCTCGGGTGACAGTTTGAGAAATTTCTGACAGCGTAATCCTGGTTAAAAGGGTTCGAGTACATTGTGTCCTGGGCAGAAGTCAGTGGTCAAGGATCAACGGGTAACTGACACGTGCGACAGCGGTCAGAAAAAACAATCAATGCTTCAATCCTACCTTCAGAAAAGTGTTTGCTCAAGTTATTTGTAGTTGGCATAGTTGCACTTAAGGAAAAAATGTGTTTTAGCAAACTTGACACACAATTACACCAAAAGAGGGAACGTATTAACATTAAAAACTTAATTTCCAAGAGATAAAACGTCCTACTAATTACCGAAAGTAGATTAACTCCACGCCCTAATATTAGGCAGTGTGTTAGCTAGCAAATCAGTAGAACGAACAAACAAAAGATAAATCAATTTACACAAGTTATAATTCATAAACAAAACAGTAGAATGACTGGTCTATTAACAAAAAGAGTGTATTTTAAATTTATCTATTCCATATATAATTTAACAAACTCAAAAAGAAGCAAGTTACTACCAACCATAAACGCAGACTTTCAATTTCGATTGGGGAGAGGCATGGCGAAGGAAAAAAAAAAAAAAGGTGTAGTTCTTATTATATGTAAAAATTCAACATAATTGATGTGAAACGAACAGATATAATACTGAATATTTAAAAATAAATTTCTGTATTTGTTTGAAAGTTGTAGAATTTTTTTGGTAGATATACTGAAAAATATCTGAACAAAACTATTGTATTTATTACAATTTGTATCTATTAAAATGTTAGGAATGTGGCAGCCTTCATAGCGCAGGTGCATTTCTATAAATTTGCCAGTTAAAAATCAACAGTGTTAAATAACCGAAAAATATTTTTGATTTCTTAGTTTGCACAACCTCAAAATAAAAATAAAATATTTTCACCGCCTAACTTTTTTTGTCAAAATATCTATAGAAATATTCTCTATAAAATGTATCTATACTTATACTTATTAAATATATATATTTTTCAAAATATATAAGATCAATCCAAGAAAATCAAGTGGAAATGGTAGTGTATACATAAGAGGTGAATGAACCATAAAATTCTAGGAAATGTTTCTATATAATCATCTCTGAATACAAATGAATATTTAAATAATTGGAATATTTTGATTGTCATAAAATAGTTGCGTGCTTACTTATAGACCTTAATTTAGCCAGCTTGTCGAATTTTCCTAATCGATCTTATTTTTCATATTTCATTCATTCATGTATCTTATTTGTTATCAATCATGATTTTGTTTACTTCTAATTATTGGGGAGGGGAGGACGATATTCTCGCCCCTCCGTAGTCTGCGCCTATATGTTTTCACTTCAATAAAAAACATTCAAAAGGGTATGTATTCTTGAAAAAATGTTTTCATGTTTTTGTATTATACTAACTGAATCAAACCCACCAACCATATTATTTCAGAACCGACCTTTGACATGACCTTTCTTTTGATACAAGACGTAAATATATTCTACAGTTATAATATTTTTTATAAATTCAAAATTCAAAAGTAAAGGTTTTGGATATCTTTAAAAGATATAGACGTATCAAGGAAATCACGTTTGCGCATATAAGAGAAAGTAATGGAAAGAATTCAATAAAATTGACACTACATTGTAATTTCACCAATAACTACGTTTTCTCCAACTTTGAGCCAAAGCGAACGAGCCTTTTCTGAAATATATCTAAAAAAATACGGTTGCTGCAATAGATTTGGAAGTGCTGGATGGAATTTGATAAAATTGATATGGGATCATTTTGACACCAATCCACACAATCCTGGAAAATTTCTTGAAAATCGGACGAACGGTACTAGGTGATATGCTAGGTAATGATAGATTTGACTACAGACAGACACCGAACTAAATTTGATCCTTGTCGTCTGAAATGTAAAACGCGAATGGAAATTTTCGATTCTAAACACATTTTTTTTTAATACCTTCGGTAGTGAGGAAACAAAACAAAAACATTGAAAATTTAATATATTATTTTAGAAATAATTTTCTAAAATATGATAGTATTTAATGAAATTTACAAATTCAACATATAATCATTTATTTTGTGGTATAGAAATTTACGCTTTCGTGGTAACTAATGACCAAGATATATAATGATGAAACTATTACATAAGTTGACAAATTCATGGTGATTGTTGTTGGTTCAAAAATATTTACTCTTTCGAATGTTTACTTTAGCAGCACGTTTTACACTTGCTTATTACATAAGTAATTTTTAAAATTATTTTATAATATACTCAAAATATATCCTATTTAAATCATTCTTAACAGTTAAAAGTTATAATTAAATTTAATTTGTCTAAATAAATCCCAAGAACTTTAAATGTAATCTGTTACCTTAGTCTTGCTTTCTGAATCACGTTGGGACGCAGACTAGCGGGTTGACATGTTTTGGTGGGGGTCGTGTTCACATGTACATATGTTTATTATTTATTTATTATTTTATTTATTAGAATCATTCTGGTTAGTTGAAACTAATTTATATTCTCTCAAGTATGTTAATTATTTTGTTACAGGAGTTACGTAACAGAGCTTTTCTTCCGAGATGCTAATATTTATGTAGATAAAATTGTTTTTGCTTGAAAATTGATTGGTAAAGTGGAATTGATTTAATAAAAATAAAAATTATTAAAAGCGTCTAACGGAAATTCCAAACACTATCAAACCTCCTTGGTGACATCATGATATAAATATATCACTATCTAAAGACTACATAGTAATGTATACAGATACTTCAAGAGATATGGACTCGATAGTAGGATGTACGGTGATCAAAGAAAACGGAACTTTACGAATAGCCTGGAGCCTGCTCAATTTTTAAGGAAAGGTGACTGACTGCCTTTAAAGGAACCCCTTCAACTTAGCCAAGCAGGCAACCACCAAACATGTATTGTAACTTATTAAATGAATGCGCTACTGGCAATCCGAAACCAAACTGCTAAACATGTGACGATACTAGAAATTTAAGAACTTATTTGGGACAGTAAAAGGGCGTAACTACAGCTTTTATTTGGACTCCGTCCCATTGTGGTATACAGGAAAATGAACAGGCAGACGTCACATCCCGAATGGCTAGAACTGATCTTAATGAGATAAAATCCATTGATTATGTTCTTCGAGAAGGCTGGGTGAGGCAATCCAGATGATAGCTCAATGGAATGAGACCTGCAGAAGAAACCCTTCCAAACTAGTTCAGATAAACTAGACAATTCTAAGTGGTGCACGATCATTGGAAAATCAATAAGAGACGAAATAATCCTGGGCCACCTCAGAATTGGTCATTGGAAACTTTCGCTGGGCTACCTACTCTATGGTCGAGAATCACATACCCGTAGACTGTATACGCTATAAGGCAATTAGGAAGAACCTTAAAGTGCACAGAACTGTCACACAGCGTGCAGAGCCCTCTTAACTTAAAATGCCCTTGGGCAATAAAAGGAAATTTATGTATATATACATTTATATACATACTGTATTTATTCAAGAAATTCCTAGAGGGTAGGAAAAAAAAAAACAAAAAAAAAAAAAACAGAACTGTCGCATCCAGAAGCGGTGGTAGCAACCTATGCTGACGATATTGCAGTCTATGCATCCAGCCTTAACGCAGAGAGAGCTCTCATGAAAGCACAGAATGCCACAGATACCATCGTCACGGAGCTTGAGAAGAACGGCATACAAGTAAATCCTGATAAGACCGATGCCATAGTGATGTCATTTCAGCAAAGAAAGAAGCCCCTGTCCACTCACCAGCGGATCTCCACCTCAGTCCTTTACCTAGGCGTGACTCTGGATAGGCACCTCACCTTTACTAATCACGTCAAGCAGAGGCTCAAGCTGGCTCGGCAAAAGGAGTATATGCTCTACCACCTGCTAAAGTCGGCGCAGCTCTCGTTGAGACTAAAACTGAAAATCTACAAGGCGGTCAAAATCAGGCCTACGCTGCTCTATGGTGCACCGTTGCTCCGCCACCTGTATAAGTCCACGCTCAAGAAACTCCAGAGTTATCAAAACTCCATCCTTCAGCGAATAGTCAGAGGTACCACCCTACAAAGGGCAAAGAGTGTAAAGATCCGAGAGGAGCTTCAGCTCCCATCTGTGCCTGAGTTCATAGGCCGAAGGCACATACAATTTTTCGATGGGCTGAAGGTCTGTGCTAACCCGCTTTTCCAGGAAATAGTACCGCCGCCCAGGCCTGGGAGGTGGCAAGGTAAAGTCCCCTTGGTAGATGTTCTCGCCGAGGGAAGGGGTTTGGACTCAGTAGTACACACCCACTAACTTTAATGTAAATAATAAATTAATTTACAGTCCCCATTTGCTGTCCCTCCATGCCCAGTAGTATAATAAAAGGCGTCTGGCCACAGATGCAAAGTACGCATACAGCGTGCATAGCCCTCTTACCTTAAAATAAAAAAGGAAATAAAAAAAAAATTATGTATATATAACATTTATATATTGTACTATGTAATAAAGAAATTCCTGAGGGGTAGGAAAAAAAAACAAAAAAGAACAGAACTGTCGATGAAACGTTACAAGATATAAATAGCGATGTGAAAATCCGTGATTTCTTGAGAAGAAAAAACACGGTTCTACAATATAATATGAAAAATCTGAGTAAAGAAAGGACCGCCAATGACCCTATCGGGTAGAGGCAAATTCAATAAATAAACAGAAATAGCAAGTAAATACTATATATATATATATATATATATATATATATATATATATATATATATATATATATATATATATATATATAACTGAAAGTTTATTAAAAATCATAAATAATAATCGAAGTTTTTTTTATCATTTAACAACTATAATAACAACATTGTTTTGGTAGCTACCTAATTTTTAATGAGAAAAAAAAGAACAGCAATATATATATATATATATATATAATATATATATATATATATATATATATATATATATATATATATATATCTGAAAGTTTATTAAAAATCATAAATAATAATCGAAGTTTTTTTTATCATTTAACAACTATAATAACAACATTGTTTTGGTAGCTACCTAATTTTTAATGAGAAAAAAAAGAACAGCAAATTGAATAATGACAAATAGTTACTAATTAGATTTTCACAACTAAATTAAAGTGAATTAAACAGGTCATGGCAGAAGACCGACACGGGGCCTATGTGTCAGGAAAAAACGCCACGAAATTAAATTAAACTATGAATGAGACAGCTATATGAGAAGGTTGTGGTATAGGATGATGATAATGGTTACATAATGACGTAAGCGAAATTCCTTCCATTTCGAAAGAAAAACGAACTTCCCTCTACTTTTTAAGAAAATATGTACTGTGTTAGGACCAACGGTAGGGCATGTAGATAATGTGCCCAATCTCCTTGTTTTCCTCTCAATCGATTAATTACATACGAATACCCACTTAATAGAGGCTTGGTGTGCCCTAGGAGGGTCTATCGATAACAGGATCGATTCAAAATTGATGAGACAGAATAAGTAGTTATCTATCACAGCCAGACTCCAACCTGATCCCTTGAAAATAGAAACACAGTGCCTCACTTACTAAGAACACCGTGTCACTTGTTGGCGTTACATTGTCATTTTCCATAAATCTTGTCGAAAATCCAGTAAAGGCATCTATTGCACATCAAGAATATTTATTTATTCTGGAAAAGTTACACGTATTAAATACTCAAAGGAGTACTGCTTAGTGTCCTTGTTCTTCACCATTGCTATAAAGTCAAAAGCGAGTTGTCTTCACGGAATTCGTTCCCTGACAGCTCAGGAAGATGACAGCCTTTGTTCTCCTTGACGGGAGGACACGTGCAAGGGTTGTTGTCGAACCCGATCAGTCTCCATCAGTCCCGGACGACGTACACCATTGGATATCTGATATCACATTAGGTCGCAATACGCCTATAGGTTGCGGAATCGACCGCAGAGCACCTGTTTAGGGCCGCTACCGTCCACAGATCCGAAGAAAAAACAAATCTAAGGGCTGGCTGAATAGAAGCCGCTGGAGAAGAAAGGGCCCTACCTACCCGGGGGCCGCCCTGTCACCTGAAGAAGTCAGGATTTTTTCTCCCGGGGTCTCTCATTCATAGAGAAACCGAGAGCCCATTGTGATATCGACATGGAGTGTCATAGATCATGCCAAGAGGCGTGTAATCATTTTTCGCGCTCCTTTTGTGTATTACAAGTGTGTATTTTAAATCACTTCTCCTTCTTCGTAGTCAAGGGAGACAAGTTGGGAAAACTTAATACTATACAAGGCGTCACCACCAATCTCTTAATCTTAATATTTTATAAAACAACATTTTTTTAATAATTGAAACAAGGTATTTGCTGAATGGTCACGTAACTGTTAATTACATGATGCATACTGCTTCATATAGAACAGTAATATCTATAGATTAAAAGAATACTACTAATTTGTTAACATTAAATTAACATTGACTGCTACTTACGCTGACGATACAATAATTTTAACAAAACACCATGACCCCAGACTAGCCTCATTAAATTTACAAAATCACTTGCTAAATTTTCAAAACTAGAATTCACTTTGGAAAATTAGATTAAATCATAACAAATCACAACATATAACATTTACGCTTCGACGAGACACATGCCCACCAGTTTATATCAGCAACTGAATTGGATTATTCCTCAGACGGACACTATACGCTACCTCGGACTAATATTAGACAGAAGGATGACCTGGAGCCCACACCTCAAAATGAAAAGAAAGACTTGGAAAAAGCTACTGAATATACTATACTCACTTTTTTCTAAATCAAAATTGAAAATTAGTCAAAAAAAAAGTACATACACTTACCTGCTCAGACCCATTTGGACACATGTCTCACAGATTTACGGTTCAGCAAAAAAGACTCCCTTACAAAAACTACAATCTTTTCAATCTAAAATATTAAGACTAATAACTGCAGCTCATTGGTATTTCAACAACAAGACTTTACATACCGACCTAAGACAACCAACCATTGACCAGCACATGCGTACTCTCTACTCCCGATTTCATCTTAAACTACACGGACATCACAATGGACTTATCAACGACATGACCACGGCTGAAATGCTCATCAGGAGGCTACTGAAAAGGAGCTGGATGAGAGATCTCCTTTTCTGATTTTAGGATGTAAATTGTTATGTTGATGTACGTGTTGTTGTTGATTTCAGGACGTAAATGTTTGTAAGATCATATTTATTGTAGTTCCACTTAAAGCGAAAAATTTTCCAAATCATGAAATTGGTGTTGTTCGTAATAAATGACACCATTTTGAAATTTAATTATTTTTTTTTAAATTTTCGATGGTTCCAATTATCACTCACTAAAAGTTTTTTTTTAAATT